GTGTTCCATTAATGGACCGGTGAGTAATATGTGACCTGACTAGTTTAAAGAATAGATTGGATGTCATAAAACAAGTCCAAATACAACCTTCTTCCAACCCGCCTAGTCCAATTCGTTAACGAAAAGTATTGAGTGTATTACAAACCATTATTTTTATATATATATATTAAAGTCTGAAAATTTAATACTAAGACAAACAATCATACGTCGTCTAACTTAATAATATAAAAGAAAATCGATATAACTGTGAATAAGGGTAGTAGGTCGGTCAAAATCCATCATCCTCTGATACTCTAAGAGTTTTGGTGACCTGACAACTCACGGTGTATGTCCGGAATGGATATACTGGACTACTACAAAGTTGGAGTCCGACGGCTCAGGGGATTACTTACCGCCGTCATTTCGCGCCGGCGTCCCTCCACCCCCCGTACTGGCAGACGTCCGGACTTTTTTTGTGAATTGTCCCTTTGTCCCGCGGAGTGTATACACCCATTGTGCAATCACGGCTTCACATGCGCTCGCACTAGTTTACGATCAACAGAGCCATTATTGTTCTTAGTAAACCTGTAAAAACCATCCTCTGTTACAAGACCATTACAACTATTCTCTTCAGCCTGACCGGCAGAAGAAGGGAGAAGACGTCGGAAATTACTCGGGCGGACGAGTCCTGTTAATTCATCGAAGACGATATATAAAAAATAATCGTTTTATTTAGATTACGCTGTTTTCGTAATCGTTGCAAGCCATAATCGTAATCGCGATTAAAATACGATTAATTGAGTCAGCCCTAGTACCAACTGTTAAGACACTACTTGTGAAATCACAATCTGTAATACTTTTACTTTTTTCAATCACAAAACCTGTGAACTGTTAAGATTTAACTGCATTTTCTAAGAGCCACAACCACAGAGGATGTCTTCGCCCCGTGAATTTACTGTTCACTTTAAGGGCATAAAAGACCCAAGTCAGAAACAGGCGCTTGCTCTGAATCTGATGCACACATTGACGTGTTGATTCAAATACTGGAATGAGATGGGAGAAGAGATCCTGTTTACCAACAGACCACAAGAGAGCCAGGTGTGCTCATAGAAATAAAAAGAGCCAATCAGAGGGTTTAATCACTCCATCATCACTATGGAGATTTGCAAACATTAACATAAATCATTGCTGCATCGACAGACCTGGCTAGACACTTTAATAAGTTAGAGGGACAAAACCACAAGTAATTAACCTGGCACTCATTATACACTGGGCTGATCAATTTCATTATCTAACGCTACATGATCTATTGTTCAGGTTTATGTTGGAAGAAGGGTTGGGCGGGTATCAGGTTAAGCATGTGCCTTTTCTAACTCAATAATGTGGTAATAAAAAATATATATATATTTCAATGACTTATTAAATTATGATTCTGTTTGTTAGTATGCAGCAGATTGAATATGTATATTTCTTTAGCTATATTGACACTTATTACAACATCATCCAGCAGTTTTAGGTAGTAGGAGACTATGAGATTCTCAAAACCACTGGATGTTGAGTGCCACATACAGGCCTATACCTATTGACTGATGATGTTCAACCTTCAGGCTGCCGAGTTATGATGGCGGCAGTAAAGGCCACCAGGGAGTGGGGGGGCATGACCCGGCTCTGCAGGCCTGAAAAAAACACTTAACAGGAAACAGGGCAGCCTACAATACTTGGTAACACTTATGTCCGAATGCTAACACTGATCAAATGCTAGTTCTCTAAATAACAAGAATCATTTGGACATATTTTGGTAGGAGACAATGTTGGTAATGTTGATAAGTAAGAGTCGGATGGCCGTCTTCTGTCCCTCTTCTGCAGCCTTTAATGAGCCCGCCTGCTCAGGACAATTAAGTAGCTTCTGCACAGGAAGTGCTTAAAGCAAGGGCGGACAGACATTTGCCACAAAGTACTCAAAGTACATTTTTCAACTCCAACCAAACACTATAACAGCTTAACTCAATAACCAAAACTAAAGTTCCTTTTACCTTGTTAATGTTGTCCTAAATCTCAGTGAACCCTGCAAGTTCTATCACTTGGCTTCTTGGCCATCTATGGCATAGAGAGCTTCCCATGGCTGGCTGGAGATTTCAGCTCCTGAGATAACACTGCTGATGCACGCTCACACGTGCACTAACATGCACGGCACACCAGATCTTCTATGGGATTACAGAGGACGTGTTCATGCAAAGGTAAGCCATGGCTATTTGCAGGACTGGCAGGATAATGATGACACATCCCAGTTTCCTGAGGAGTCTCCTCTTCCAGTTGGACCACATTCCCTTGTGGAGATGGTCATCAAGTGGATGGGATCGTACAAATCAATTATTAATACAGTTGTTGCTTGACTTTTTTCAAAACGAATTATTTATCATAAGTCATCGGGCGCTTAGGTCCAGAACCTTCAGTGCATTTCTTTTTAGTTTTATGTAGGTTCTTATTAAGCGAAGGTGGTCTTCTCTTCTCCATTAAAACATCATCACACTACAGATATATCCCAAAAAGTATTTTGGAAGTACTAGGTACTTACCAAGAAACAGACCGTAAATAAACTTTAAGACTCTTTTACACCTGTAATTATTTAACAAATTAGAACCAAGAGGGACGAACCAAACAACCTACATACTGTAACATGATACAGAATTTAATCAAACTTTCACAACACGCCTTGATTACAGTTGTGGCTAGGGCTGCACGATATTGGAAAAAAGTGACATTGCGATTTTTTCCCCCCCTGCGATATATATTGCGATATGAAAACATACAGGAACTTAATCACCGGGTCCGTTTGCTTTGGAGATTTGATTGTGATTGGTGGTTTGCTGTGCATGCAGAGCCTTCATGTCACTCACTCAAGTACCTCTGACATGAGAGCTGCGCAAGTTTTCCTTTTGTAGCAAGCAGCAAAATAATTGTAACATGACGTGTTTTAGTTAATTTTTTTTTTTAATCGTCACGTCCTGCGATGTGAATTGCAGGACGCATGCGCATATCGCGATTATCGTCACTCATGACACGATATATCGTGCAGCCCTAGTTGTGGTCTTTGTTTACAATGTACCAGCATCAAAAGAGAATACAACTAGTGGAACATTTGGAACTGATTGCAAAAGGGAATTGACCCCAAACAAAAAATCCTCAGGAAAGGTAGGCCGGGATGTTGACCGATGTTGACTGATGTTGACTGCCCTTTAGTTATAGCCTATACAAATTGAGATGTTTTGCTATTCAAATCTTTGGTGTGTCTGTGTGCACACATACTGTAACACATCCTGTCAGTCAATTTAAAATGTTGAAATGAAATAGAGAGGGAGCATCTGTACTTGAACAGCAGAGCTAAACGGATAGATCCAAGAAACCAAACAATGAAAATGAGGCTGATCCATTTCCTCCTTTGGTTAAATCCGACCAGTTCAGAAATACTTCTCATGCTTTTAATTCTGCAGCAGCAATTGCTGAGCCAGGATCAGGACAGCCTTGCCTGCTGTGTGACTTGCAGCAGTGTGATCTGCTTCTATAATAGCAGGGTACATTTGAACCTTGCTCACATTCTTGTGGAAATGCACATAAGATTCTTGGCCTTATTTGATCATTGTCAGTCCTCTGCTGACTGAAGGCCGAGCAAGAGGACATCCTTTTATTCCTCACAGTGCGAGAATTCCTACATCTCACATCACTCTTAAAGTGGTGGATATTTTCATAAAACCACAGAACTGGGTGGGCGTAAATTCCAAATTGAAAGAACTGAATGGAAAGTGAAGGGAAACAGGAAGAATATGTACTAAATACGATCCAGCCAGGAGTAAAACATGCCTACACCCACACTGGGTATGCAGAGAACTCCCTTTTGCACTAAAACACAAACAAAAAAAACGGTGAAACCAACTGCAGCTCGAGTCATAACAAACTGTGCATTCATGCCCACAGATACAGACACAGTAAACATGTCTGCGTCTGGAAGGGGCCAGCTGAAGCATGGATGAGAAGCATTGATAGACTTTGCTGCAGGCCAATAAAGTACTATTTACAAAAAAACAACGTGCCTTCTGCTTAACAGAGCTCTTATACGGTTGCTGGTCCAACCAAAACTCCTTCATTAAAGCAGCGATGCAGCCTTATTCTCTTATCAGAGATGCGTGTCGGACTCAGTGTTGAGCTTTATTTCAAATTCAGGTCAGACATTGTTATAGTTTCCCTCCCTGGAGAGTGGTGGGGGTTATGCCATATGTCAACAAATAAGCATAACTGTCCAATGGATATAGAGGAGAAAATACAGTTTTGTGTAAGACAAGAGGAGTTCTGAGCAAGAAGATACAACATGGCTATATAAAGTGTCTCCTGAAGGCATCTTTTCCCATCGCTGTCAACTTTAACGTGCACAGAAACGAGCTTCCTGAACTCTTCCTGATAGGGTTAGCAGATGATCACTTTTGACAATAATCCCCAAGTGATGCGCAGCGTTATCTAACCTGCTGGAGAATGGCAGTTACAACGTAGTTAGCTTCGTTTACTAAGCATTACAAGTTTGTCCATCTTGTCTAAAATATCCACAAAGCTGCACTTTGTCAGAAAACGAGATTAAAATGCGGTAAAACAAAGCTAAAGCACAGCTAGTTGAGCTAGGCGCCAGACAAGTCGTGATATGTCAACCGGCTTTCAAACCCGGCTACTAAAATAACGTCACAACTTTAGCTAACGTTAGATACAAGTTACGTCTCTAAGCCCAGGAGCTTTTTACCACATATCCACTAACATAGATTATCCACATTAACTTATTTAGAAGAAGTTGCATATTTCTCCGCATCCATTGTCAGCAGATACCGGACAGCGAGCTAACGTTACTAGCCTGGTTTCCTTACAACTCGTTCAAATACCCCGGTTAGCGGCGGCAGCGGCACACAAACATGACAAAGTGTTGACTACATTGTAAGACACAAGTGGGTTAAAATAACCACTACTGCCAAGATGTTTCTTACCCATTTGGGCTCGCAAGCCTTTGAGAGTCGTAGTACCCTCCGCCATTTCTATGAAGTTTTCCTTCTCTGTTTTTTTCTAAAGCAGGGGCGCGTAACACATCGCAGCCGGTAGGAGAGCACGGGGACGTGGACACCAGAGACAGGAAGAGAGAGGGCTCACTCTGACCGGTTCACGGAAACCAACAAACTAACAGGAACTAAGCCTTCAAAATGCTGCCCCTGTCTCTTATTGGATGTATTATTTATGTTGTTTGTCTTATTGTGAATTCATGTCATTTTATTGTCTTTTTTTGATAACTTGAAGATATCCTCACCGAGCTTTTGTATGTTCTAAATATGTTCAATACGAAAAAAAAGGAAAAAACTGCTGCCCTGTGAATGTAAAGTGTTTGCTTTTGTAAAAGTACATAGGCTACATGTTAACATACTTATGGGCAGGGCAAAATACTTGATATCTATATTAATTCAATATTAATGTATGTATGTGTGTGTGTGTGTGTGTGTGTGTGTGTGTGTGTGTGTGTGTGTGTGTGTGTGTGTGTGTGTATCTCTTTATTCACCTCATAAGTGCATAATATTTTTCTGTGTATCTTTATTCAGCTTTGTTGTCCTTATTTATACTGAGGGTTTATGTCTATTTCTGATTATAATAATAACATGTATGATTATATTAATAATATGAATAGAGTGTTTTATAGTCAAATTCCCCAAACATACTTGGCTAATAAAGCCGTTCCATTGCACATAATCTAAACGTCGTGCAAGCTGCAAGATAGGCCAGTATTTGTGGATCGTAGTGGTTCATCTTATGAATAAACGAGCTAAGAATTTGCTAGTAAAATGCTAGGCTATTATAAGCTAAAACACCCAACAGCGCCCCCTGTTGGCAGATGGCAGTTGTTGAACGCTAATGTAGAGTTTAGTCTATGGTTTATTCACAAGCAACTGTGTAAACCAGCATTGAAGTGTTGGAGCCAATTAACGGCTTGATTAATAACACAGTCATGATACTTCCATAACATAAACAGGTTACATTAGAAAAATGAAAACACTTTAGGGATATACAATATTGGTCATTTAACCTAATTATATGACGTCTTTTTTAGAGAAGAAGAAATATAAGTATTAAGCAGCACAGTAAACCTGAGAATTATGTAATGAGTTGCTTTTTAGGAAAATATCGATGTGAAGATAAAGTTAAACCTTACCAGATTGAGGATGACGAAGATGCTGCAAAGCAAGCGTTCAAGGAAAAATGATCAGTTGGTAAAGTTGTCTCAATGAGAGAATAACACATTTTCTCAGGGCTCTATGTTCTTTCTCTTTCCATGAACACTGTATCCTCTGTCCTGGCCCGTCTCACATGCCTTAGCCAGAGGCCCTCTCATCTATTTTACATGGTAAACAGGAAGTAACACTGCATGTAGGGTTTGATTACAATGACCTGGATATTGTGTTATTCAACACCATAAGCAGCACACATTATGACTTCTTCTCATTGAACTTAAAGTATCATGTGACATGTATTAGAAACAATGCATTTATGGAGGTAAAGCCAATACACAAACAAATAAAGCACAACAATGGACAATTAACTGAAATAAATATGTCAGTTCTTGTCACAGATTAGCTTTTTCATTACAAGTATCCCACTAAAAGTCAATTGATTGCAATAAAGATAATATGTTTGTGTCCCAGGAATAAAACTCAGACTCATCAGGTCATGCATCTGGTAACAGTGTGAAAAGTGGGTCAGAAATACTGTTGAAGTCATGGTAACGGATCCCTGGGGTCTAAGTGTTCACCACAGCTCTGTGTATCCTAGCAACAACTTCAGGATTAGGCAGGAGCGCAGCAGCCTGGGCCAGGTGGGGCAGCAGGGTGTAGGTGGAGGTGCGCAGGTACTGAAAGAGATCCTGGAAGCTTTGAATATGAGCGTTGACCTGAGGTGGGACACCCAAAGACCGTCCCAGTTTCCTCAACACGTTCCTGTTGTCAGCTGAGTCAAGCAGCAGAGACAAGTCCTGGACCGAGTCATAGTCCAGCTTCTCAATACTCTGACCTGGACAGAGTCAAAACAGAAACACCAACGTCAACTTCAGATCCAAATATTTGTATTGAGTTTCAACAATGCACAACCAGGTTTGTAGAAAATCCAACGTTGACTTCAGAGAAAACAGCTGAATACATCAACCCACTACAACACATTTATTTATTTATAGATTTATTTATCTTTGAAACTTAAGAACAACAAGCTAACTCTAAAGAAGAAAATCAACCTACCTTGAGCCACTTCCCATATGGTGAGAAGCTTTTGCTCCATCTGTTATTGACATAAAAGATTACATTGTTATTTTTACAACAGAAAAAGTATTACTTTACTCCTAGGTTGGCATTGGCCCTGCAATGTTTAGTGCTGAATTAAAACAGTAGAGGGCTTGTTGAGCTATTTTAAACCCCTGAAACCAAGTGTTATGTTAGCTCATGCAGGACACGGTCATATGCCCCAGTTGTAGTCTGTTCAAGTCATTGTTTTTGAGCAGTAACTGTCTCACAACAAGGCCATTTCAATATAACTTCCACCTCACTGATCCCTGCAATATATGCTTCAACACACCTGACACCAAACATGACTAAAGGTTTGAATAGTATTAAATGTCATGCTTTGGGCACTCTCTTGTACCCAGGCGTGTGTTCTGCATTGCACTCATAATCGTACTTGTTAGCACAGGCCTGAGACACAGTGCTTGATCAGTAGCTTAGAGTCAGCCTGTCATTCATTATAGTCTGTTTAATCTGTGTCTTACTCTTAACTGTTTAAGTATCACAGAATTCATTTCACCGTGTATTTTTTGTTTATCACAAATGAAATTCCATTCATCCCATTTGGGGGTAATGGCGGAAATCTCAATAGGATATTTCATGTTGATTTGTGTGAAGAAAAATTGACAACATGGACTTAAACCATGTATGAACAAACAATCAATCTAAATTCTAAGTGCCTCATTTTATTTAAAGTATTTAAAAGCAATTTAATAATCTATTGCTGATCTTGGCCATGACTCACCATGACTCCTAAAAATATGTTAAGTTAAACCACTTTACCTCCTGTATGGTACAGTGTTTTTGCTTCTCCTCCCGTGTGATGTTCTCCTCGTTCTGACTGCAGGGCTTGATGTTGGTGGTGAAATTTATCACAATAGAAGTAGGATGCACCTCATGCTCATGTGTCAGAGAGTTCAGTCCTCTAGGTAGAGAGGAAATTAAATGTAAATATATAACATAGAGACTGATCAAGGGTCAGTGAAGTATTGTATGTTTACAATTACATTAGGGGATCTTGAGCTGGAACAAGTGTCTGTGTGGGGACCTCTGGTTGTTTGGCTGCTCTCCCGGTGGGGCTGTACAAAGGAGCGTACTGCAGCTCATCTGCGGACAAAAGCTCTTCAGGGCCAGCACAGTACTCAGGAACCTGCTCTGAATATTGCAACAAGTATATATGATCTAAATTAGTAATGCAGACAAGAGACAGTTGGGGAGAAATGGCAGAAGTGTCAAATATCATGCGTCCAACATACTGAATCTCTCTGCAGTCAGAAGGGCGGCCCAAAGCAGCAGAGCAATGAGGAAAATGGAGGAAGCTGTTGCTGAACCAATCAGGACCATTGAGAATGATTCTTCTTTGACTCCTATAATTAGAAAATCAGTTAAAAGAGTGTAAACTTAAACACTGGTTGTGAAAATCCACAGTGTTACTTACTATTTTCTTTAGGTTCTTTGAGATGTCCTCGTGGTGAAGTGACAGCACTCTCTGTCAGAGAACAAGACTTACAAGTTTTCCTTGACAACATCTTAGGAAAATCACCAGTCAATAAAACCATTTATACAATGTAATTAAAATGGTCATCCAGTCTACATGGTTTATCCGTGGTTCTTACCTGCTTTAGAGCCCTGTGCTGTCCAAAGCAAACACTCTTTATGAACTGTGTCGTGATTAAAACAAGGCACACAGGGCAGCTCCACCTCCCCAGTCATGCTCCTGAGTTCATAATACCTGTACACACAACCACATTCATGCCCTTAACTAAAAAACAAATGCTGTATTTATCATGTGACTGATTCTGCACAGTAATGTGTCACTCACCCTGGACGGCATTGACCACACTGGGCATTACTGGTGGATGAGCATGCTGTCTTCTGGAGGCGGTTCAGCAGATTGCACTGGGTACATCGCATGCAGGGAGCAACACCTGTATCTGCACTGAACTTCCCTTCGTCACACAGAATACAGACACCTTCTCCACCATCTCCAAAACCACAGTCCTGAGAATGATGCACGATACAGAGTTGGAAACAAGAAGCAAGGCAAGGCAAGGCAATTTTTTATTTTATTTTATATAGAAGCAAGAGACGTAAAAAAACATGTGCAGCCACTGTAAAGTGTTATGTTTGTTACCCCTGAGAGCTGTTCTCCAGGCCCACATACAGGGCACGCAACACATGTGCCATTAGTGTGTATAAACTCTGTCTGGTCGCAGCTGGGCTCGGATCCTACAAGCATGAACCAAACCTGAGGAACACACACATTGAAAATAAAGGGTAGGGGAAGAATTCATTAGAATCATTATAACGTTGCAGTAGTAATACCATTCTATTAAAGTCCTGTAATCAAAGTATTGCTTAAGATTGCTTAAGTATGGACAAATTAACAGCAAGTAAAATGACTTATTTTTTGTTTTTATCATATATTTGATCAATAATTGGCTTCTGATAACCTTCTTTTCCTGTGTCATTGCACTAAGGATGAACATTTGATCAATTTGTGTCAAATGTGTCTTTAGAAATGTTTCTTTAGCTTGAAAGAAGGAATAGCCCAGGTTGATGAACTAGATTAAAGTGAGATGACACAATAGATATTACTTGAGACAAGTTTATATGCATTCAAGACATATACATATCTTATGGTAGATTGATTCACTATTCATTAAACAACAAGAAGACAAAATGAGCTGATTAGTGCAATGACAAATGCATCATGTAGCAAAAACGTTTTAGAAAGTTGTTAAAGGAAAATGTTTTAAGGTCAGACTTACCATCAGCAGAGCAGTATGGAGACAAGCCTC